CTCGTTCTCACATCAATTCTGTATGGAATTCAATCACCAAGGCAAGTGAATGTAAATAGAGATGATTTGACTCCCGAGTGAGGAAGGATGAGTGAGGATATTCAATTTCAAATGATGGCCATGCGCGCCTAGGCCGGGATAACAACGACAACATCCTATGCAAAATCGCCTTGCCCTCTATACCGACCCCTTTTGATGTTTGCCCCGTAATTTTGTTTTCCCCACCGGTTATGACTTATGCATGCCCTGACTCCATGATACACGTTGCTCCCATATTTCATCTATATTGGCCGTATGTTTGTTGTACATTGATTTTTTGCGTGTTCCTGAACACTGTTTTTTTTTTGTTTCCTCATGAGTCATCATGATACGTCACAGTTGGTGGTCTCACCAACGTCTCCCTCATCTGGGTCTTTGCCACAGTTGTTTTTTGGGTTTTCCTTTCTTCTTTTTTTAATTTGATGATGCTACTCTTAATTCAAGTGATTCGTTGCTTAAGCCCGGCCGCGTCGCTTGGGGTTGCCCTGACCTGGCCGCTTCTTCGACGGCTTTGACTGCCCCTCGCCGCCCTCAATGAACTTGATGAGTTCATCAATGCTGCGGGAGTCCATCCCGGTTGAGGATATGCGTCCTCCTGATGCGACGGCGGGTTGCACAGTCCCGGTGGACGCAGCAGGGAAACGGATCCCGGACCGGATGCGTCTTGCCTGCGCGTCCTTGGCATGCTTGGCAATGGAGACGGCATTTTGGGTTAGTTGCTCGAGCCAGGTCTCTGCTTCTTTGGTGTTCTTGTCCTCCGGTCCCAGCTCGTTGAGGAAAACGTTGTAAGACTCTCGCATGCGATTCACGGCTCCCTTAGAGTCTTGATCAAGTGCAAGGGCTTGTGCCAGTTGGAACAGAAGGGTTGCTGAGTTGACAGACTCTCTGCCAAACACCGTCTCGCATACGCGAAGGGACTCTTCAAACCACAGCCTTGACTCGTGGTAAGCCTTGAGGTGCTGAAGCATCACGGCGGCATTGTTGATGGTTGTGATAGAGTCTGGGTGGTCAGGGCCGTAAATGATCTTCCATAGCTTCAAGGCGTGCTTCGAGTAGCTCAGGGCACCCTTGCTATCGCCAGCCTGGTGGAGGAAAAGACTCAAATTAAGGTAGTTCAGTAAAGTCTCGGCCGAATCCACACCGACTGTTCTCTCTGCCACCACAATGGCCTTTCTTGCCAGCTCAATGGCCGCCTCCTTATCGTCAAGTTGATAATAAAGCATTGAAAGACTGTTGTACACACGTGCCACCTCCGGGTGCAGGATGCCATAGATTTGCTCGTGTAGCGACAACGACTCAAGGAGCAACTCCTGTCCCAGCTTGCGTTGATTCTGCAGCAGAGAGATTCGGCCGGCCTCAAGAGCCTCTTCAGCAAGGGCACTGCGAGGGCATGAGTGCTTCACCACGGGAACCACGTTGAGGATATCTTCGCTGGTAAAAGTGGTAGTTGGTACAGCCTCGGTAGATGCCGGCGAGCCCTCACGAGCTTTCTTATTCTTCTTCTTCTTATTGGAAGACTCTCCGTTGGCCTGGCCATTGGTCTTTTGAGGGGGAGCAACATCGGATTGCTGTGCAGTGAAGGCGTATTCTTTCGCCTGGATCTGGATGCCCATACGAAGGCAGACTTCACGCAACAGCTGGGGGGCCTTCGTGTCTTTGCGCCACTCAGAGTCGAGCTCATATCGGAAACGCTTAAAGGTCTGCTCCTCAAGGCTGTTTCGGAGGGACTCGGGTGTGACTTGTTCAAAAGACCAGTCGGCGTCTGGGTACAGAGCTTTCAGAGAGGGCTCAAGATCAGAAACAGGATTTGCGTTGAAATCCTGGCCGACGAGACAGTTAAGAAGATGGGAAATACAAGCTGCAGTGGCAGGGACAGGAAGGTGACGCAGATACTGAGCAGATACATGCTTGAATGAACGAGCCAACATATCCTGAACGCAAACAGCACGCATGCAGCGCAGGCGGTCGTCGGTGCAGAGAGATGTTACCATTCCAAGATATCTCAGATTGATACCACGCTTGTGCAGTAGCCGACCAAGGGATTGGCCGTCCATGGGGAAGCTGATGTCAGACTCAGAAAGATCCTTAAGTAGGTCTGGGATGACCTGATCACGGAGGTACTGGCCTGCTGCGCGGACCTCCTTCTCATCCTCAGCCCACTCTTGCTTCTCCTCCTCTGTGACGGGAGTCTGGCCGCCAAAAGTATCAGGATTGAGGGCGAATTGGAATTTGGAGAGGTCGGGCTGGCTGATGGCAGCTTTGGCTTCTCCCTTGTCTTCTTCATTCTCGCCAGCCTCGCCAGCCTCGGCCTGCTCCTTCTTTTTGGCAGCGATCTCCTTATCGATCCACTGCTTCATGCGGTAGCGACCGAAAGAATCGACCAGCTCAGGACGCAGGACCGTCATTCTGTGAGGATAAGCGGTCTCATCCTCTTCAGCCTCGCAGTCATCTAGCCATGCGATATCAAGCGGTGAGATCCGGTAGAGGTCAAGGACGTATTTGCGTCCATCAGTCCCCATGAGGCCCTTTGTCTCCACGCTTGCCTCGAGGTCAAACCTCTTGCCCTCCTTGTCCCAGACGGGGTGCTTCTTCACTTTAAGTGCCTTGGACAACTGAGCGAAGGTGGCAGCGAAACGCTCGTCATCGGCCACAACGTCTTTACCGTCAACAGCGCCGTAGTCGATCTGATTCTCACCAGGCTCACGCTGCTTGAAGATTCCAGGAACAATGCTTTGGCCAACAATACGCTTTCCAAGGTAATCGACAACTACTGTTGCTGGTGTGAAGAGCCCATCGATATCAAGCTGGTTGACCAGCCTGACACCAGCCACATCCTTTCCAGTTGCTACCCTAGCTGCCTCATCTCCGCCCTCTGAAGTGAAGGTTCCTACTCCATCGGCTCCAAAGGAGAAGAAGATGTTATTGTAGACAAAGATTTGCGCATCTCGGCCTTCAGTTGGGTTAAGGGGGGCAATTTCTCCACGGGCAACCATGACAGCTCCACGAGTAGCAGCATCGTTGTAATCAGCAAAAAGCTTTGAGATGAGTCTTTCACGGAACACTCTGTCCTGCACCGTCTCCTTTGGCAGCTCCTTGGCCGATTGGAACTCTTCGTTCCAGTCACGAAGGGTATCTGTGTTCTCTACACCATTGAGAAGATAGGTCTCCTGGGGCCGAGTTGGGTCGGCGACATGTTCACATAGCGACGAAGTAGGGGGCGGGACTACCCATGGAGCGGCGGGGATAGTGTTGGTGATCTGGAAAGTAGCTAGAGGGTCTCTTTGGTTGTTGTGCTCCTGTAGTTGGGCAAATGTATCCAAGAAAGAGGGGGAGACAGCACGCAGGAGATCCAAAAGGGAATGAGAGGATTGACCCTTGGGGGGAGGTTTGGGGAATGGGTCAAACTTGGCATTCGAGGACTTGTTGATGAAGAATCCCGAGACATGGGATGTGATTTGGAACTGCTCTCCTTCATTGGTTGTTACAACAAGGTAGAGGAGGTGGCCCCGCTGTCGGAGATGAGGGGGCGGGGGGTTCCAGGCTGAGAGTGTGATTTGCTTCACTGTCTTGGGAGCGGGACCGGTGGGCTTTGGGACGAGGCTGGAGAGTGCTGGAATGGCCTGGAAGTCATGGTCCGTGACTGGTTGCTGATCCTTTTCGGCAGAAGCCTCTGCTTGGGCCTCTTTGGAAACATCCTCAAAGAGGGATGCACCAGGGAGCACACCCTGTGTAGAATCGGTACGGTCACCGGCGGCACCAATTAGTTCCCGAATTCGCACCAGATGAATACGAGCCTCCTTCTCAGTGTAAGGATCTTGGACCAAGACAAATTCGGGTTCGGGGCTGAGCTCGGGAACCTCCGCAAGAGGGATGAAGTCGTTGAGTTTCTGGCCCTTGTACTCGAGGTGGAAGCAAGTATACTGGAAGGCTGAGGGGAGATCGATGAGGGATTGCCGGATTTCGTGAATCTGTTCTTGAGAGGAGACCTATGGGGGCAATAGAGTGAGCATTGAGGGTTGGCTAGCCCAGAGTTCTGAGGCATACTGTGAGTTGCAAGCTCTCCGCCTTGGTGTCAGGCAGAGCAATGCTAATATTTATTAGGGCTGGCCAAAATACATGGTTAGCAACAGGGTTTAGCCAACGAAAAATCGGAAGGCGGAATTTACATTCGGCTGCATTTTCTCCCTCCTGCGGAGCAACGGCATCATTGGGCTCGGTCAGAGACTCGTTGCCTGCGGGCGAATGCATGTATTAGACTTTGGAGCGTTCGTGAAGTAAAATAAGATAAGAACCAGGGTGCGGTGTAGGTACCTGGGGTGGCATTTTGTGGTTGCTCTGACTCTGCAGCCATGATTACTCGCAGGCGGAGGAATGACTATACACGACGAACACAATGTATTACAAGAGAAAAAAAAATTCGCCTGTCATGAAGAGAAACAGGCTAATGTAGCATAAGTCTGCGATTGGAGCAATGTGGGAGAGTGTTGCAGTGCAGAGGAAAAGAAAAAAATTCAATTGATGACCAGCGGGAAGGAGCACGAGTGGGCGGAAGCGGCGGGCCCGAGCGACCGGCCGGGTGGGAGCCGAGACTTTGCAGCGACTTGGGCCAGCGGGCAAAGACGGCTGCCAGGTCGGTACTGCAGTGGTACCCCGGCTCTGGGCTGGCTACCGAAGCCAGCCGACTCCACGATTTCAACAGGGAGCTAGGCCGAGAGTGGCAGAAAGTAAATATTGATTCCAGCAACCAGCAGTTCTTGAATCATTTCCATCCTACCTTATCTGACGTACATGGCGGCGCATCTACCATCTCTGCTTATTTCTACGACCATTTTGCAATATTATCCATACGAATCACGAAATATATTTTTGGCTGATCGCTTTCGTCTCGCCATGCATCCCTCCAGCCATCGAATGCTACGTTAGACACCACTCCTCTCTCCAGAACAGCACACATCCTCGAGATGCACGATCCCGTATCCGTTCAGCCATGGACGGCGGCCCGATGCCACCGCCTGTTGCGCCAGCTCGAGTCTCGATTATCCACCCTCCGCAAGCTGGTCAAGCCGGACGCTGGCCCTCTGAAAGGACAACAACAAACCAAGCGCCATGCTCACGAGACCTGGGATGCGCAACCTGCTAAACGGGTCAAGCATACATACACAGCCAGGAACCGAAGAAGCTTGCCTAGCAGGCCAAAGCCGCCCTCCATGACACCAAAGCGACCTACCCGTGCATTTTCTAGGTTGGATACTGCCAACTTGTCACCCAACTCGAGGACCCTCAATTTCCCGACGCCGGTAGCGACACGGTACACCAAGATGACCAAACATTGGGACGACCGGACCAGCAGCATGGAAAATTCCACTGATAAATCGGCCAATAGCACACAGCCGGTCCCCCGAAACCTCCTGGAAGAGATACGCCATATTCGTCACACTGTCCCTGAGACGCATTTCCGAGTCTACATGGCCAATTTTGAATGGCTCGCGCATCTGCTTCAGGCAACTGCTTCAAGACCTAGAGAGGCACACCCGAAATCTCTACTTGGAATGTGTTTACGCCAAATCCCCGCCTGTGTAGAAAACATTGAAGATTGGGAAAGGGGCAGGACCAATGATAAAGCTATCCATTCAATCACGAGTAGTTCCGCGGTCTCTTTGGAGCTGTATGAGCAGCTTGAGGCGTTTGGATCATCTGAAACGGGGTGGCGGCCGCTCAAGATTGCCGCTCGTGCGCATGCCACCAGACTCCTCCAAAAGGCAGCTGTGGAAGGCTTGTTTGAACCAGCTTATGTGGGATCGCTAGTGAAACTTTGCCTTCACTTTCACTGTCCTGAAGAGGCTGCGATTCTTGCGACCGCAGTACGAGGCGCATTGCCGAAGCCGAGGAATCTACAGAGCACATTTGTCGAGCGCTACGAGCTCCAGCCGCTTCATGCCCTTGTGACGTCGGCCGCTGCTGGTCAGGGCAAAGGCTTTGCACTCTGTCATATATCATCATTAATCAAACAAGGGTACCTGCACCCCGAATGGGTTGCTTCCAAAGCGTTTACCGAAGTGCTGAGCGGAGCGATCCAATCTGTAGCCTCAGATAAGAGCGGCCCATCGGAGCTGAAACTGCTGGTCACCATCATTGAAACGCTGTGCGTCAAGGAATATTCTCGCTCGGAAGCAAGCCATGAGCATAGCCGGTCACATGCCCTGATACGTGTGGCTGCTGGGCTGGCCATAGTCGCCATGGGGTCGGCCAATGGCCAAGCGACAGCGACCTCCATGCCTGCAAGACGGAACTGTATGAGGGCACTTCGTGTTCTAGACTTCTCCGTCAACAGTATCAGAGAGAACCGCGGTAGCCAGCAAGCGAGAGAATTGTCAGTTATACCAGTGATGGCACTTTTCTTAGCAGTGACATCGAATGAACTGGTGAGCCGGGAACTTCAGCAACAAGCTGCAAGGGAATTGGAGAGTTTGATTGCAACAGATGAGTCTCAGGCGCATCGCCAATATCGGCAAGCCATGTCCCTGGTTTGCTCAATTACCCAGGGCATAAGCCAGCAGGCAGAACAGCTTGCAGGTTTTGAATGCTTAGCAACCATATGCAATCGGCTTGATAAACTGCAACTACCAAGTTGGTTCCGGCAGGGCCTGCGGACTGACGGCGCTTTCCTCTTTGCCCAGAAGACGAAAGACCTTCGTGACCTCGTCTTTGCCGAGCAACAATTCCAATCTACGAACATGGCCGTCTTGGCAAAGCCAGGTTCCGAGCCGGGGCGTGTGAGCAGCATCTTCTCTGGCTGGCGCTGGGAGGAGGGTATCAGCGAATGGGTGTTACCAAGTCCTGACAAAGCTGGGAGGCGGCCGGGGAAGCGGCCGGGGAACAGCAGACGCTGCACTTCAGACGGAGATGTGCTTCAAACAGTCAACAACGAAGCGGAGGTGGAGACAAGACAAACCTGGGTGAGGGCAATGAACCAACAACTCTCACCAGGGGCGATGGTATCTGAGCGCGCACAGGTACGTTTCAGGGACAACGCCAGAGGGCGGGGAGTGGACCGACCTGGCGGGACTGGGGTTGGCACGGTTCTGCAAGAGAGGAAAGAGAGCAATTCGGTGAAGGCGAGAAAAACTCTCGATCCAAAACTTGCAGCAGGTTTGCGACCACAGGGGCCCGTCCCGCTGGGCGCTAAAGCAGCGTGCCTTGGAACGCACCTCGTCCCAGACTCAGCTGGCTGCAACGGCAGTGGCGGCAGCAACAGCAAAAGCAATGAGAAAGACAGCAGCAGCACACGAAACATTAGTGCTTGTGCCGGCGCTACGGGCCATACAGGTGCCGGGGCAGTGGTGGCAGTGGGAACGCATGGCAAGAGGCAGCCGAGGACGAAAAGCATGAGGGTGACTGGGCGACTTCTGATCGCCAGGGGAGCCAATCAAGCCAGGCAACACGATGCTTGGGCCCCTGGGTGACGAATATGCACATACATGCTGCGGCGCCACCGAAAAGAACTGAAACGGGTCCAGCAAAGAGCAGGGGTTCGGCCTGCTGGTGCGACAAGAGCCGGGTCGGTGTTTGCCAATGATGAGTGCCGGTGCCTGATAGGGGACCAGATGTGTGTGACAATGCAGCCAGCCATTGGGCACGAGCCAGTGGGCACACTCTCTACTAGCTTGCAGCAGTACCCGCGCGCCGACGATCGAGGGCCACCTGTGCTTGGTCTCTACTTCAGCCACCCGACCGACGCTGATGCAAGAAACAGCCCCTGGCAGATATGCGGGGTTCTGGAAGACCAGACCGGTTTCTTCTCCGCCCCACTCTCGGGAGTGACGACCCAATGTGTAATCTGTTTATCTCGGTGGCCGGCTTAACGAGATTGAATCTGTCCACGGCAGGCAAGCTCATGCCCTCCGGCCCTTGTTAGGTGTTAGTCTTGTGTACAGCCCATGTAGTTTTATCTTTTGGTAAGGGTCCAGAAACAAAGCCAAGTCTCAAGCGACAGAGGCAATTAATTTTGATTTTATTACAGTTCGTTCAGCTGTATGTGCCTGTCCACAGCCATGTGCCGTGCTGTCTATGCATGTCCCTATTAACCGGCCTGAAGTGGAATCGCTTGCACATTTTATTTGAATGGGTATAGGTATTTAATGTTCAATATGTGCGCTGTAGAGAGCGACTGGTCTTCTCACGCACGTTGTTCCTGGGTGGAGTTGCCGCTTGATTGGCTGTCCTTGTTCAGAACGAAAACTCGGATCGACTTTGCTTGCTCTCAGAGCCACCTGCTCTACATAGATGGATAGATAGTGTTTGTCCGTGAAACATAGATCAGATCCGGTGAGCCAGCTGAATCGTCGTCTTCCCTACCAATGTTCCCTGTGACTACGTAGCTGAGGAGATATCAATCTCAGGTGCGAAAAGTCCCGACAGATGCCACCGCGCGCAAGCCCTCAAGGCCCTGTCCCAGCGGATAGGACCAGCCTGTCAGCGCCTGCACACACGAGGTAGGTGCAGCTGGAGCGAGCAGGGCGCTCACACGGAACTTGGACACCGCTTCCTTTCTTGGGCATGGCTCATCGGCAACGTGCGCTAGGGCCCCCCATAACTGTATCACATCCCCTTGCTCAGACCGATCGCCGTCCGCTAATTGGCAGCCCACGTCCCAGATGCAGCGTAGGCGCTGTCACTACCCCCGTACCCACACCACCCACCGGCAAGGTCCCTCTCCTTGGAATCTCCATATCAGTGATGCATCTGCTCACTTCTTTGCATTCTTTCCCTCGCTCCTCACAACTCGTCATCATTTCAATTTCTGCTTTGGAGGTTGGGATTTGACGCCGGTGTTGTTGTCTCACATCTGCTTTTCCCTCCTTGGCCTTCATTTCTTCACTTGACTTTTTTCTCGCTGAGTTCACTCGTTTAATTCTCGCCCTACCTTCTGCGAAGCTGCTCGCAGGCTCTGAAGCTGGATATCTTCTCCATACACCAATCACGCGTTTCCCAGTCACTCGACCAAATCGACAACCATCTTTCACTAGGGAAGCCCAACTAAAAATCACTCGCCATGGCCGCCGAGACCATGGCCACAGAACTTCTCGCCAGAGCTGGCCCTGGTGCGAAGGATCCTGCCGTTGAGGCTGCCGCCAGGGCCCTCAACAACGCCTACTCCAACTACCTCTTCATCATGTGCGGAGCTATTGGTGGTGCCATCCTGCTCTGGAAGCTCATGGACAGCATCATTAAATACACCCGTCACATTGTCTGCCTTAATAACGACCGCCAACGCTACTTTGCTATTGCTTCTCCTTGGAATGCATCGATCAAACGCCACATTCTCTACGCTCCGCTTTTCCGCAAGAGACATAACCGTGAAATCCAGCTCAGCTCAGCAATTAACGTCGGCACCCTGCCTACCCGGTTTCAACTCGTTTTCCTCGTCGCCTACTTTGCCACCAACATTGCTTTCTGTCTGGTTGGGGTTCCCTTCAACGAAACCGCATCCGAGGCATTGGATGTATTGAGGAAGCGGTCGGGTTGGCTGAGCACCCTCAACATGGTAATATCCGTCCTTCCAATCAAGGGAGCACACTGTTGCTAACACGAGTCCCACCCAGATTCCACTGTTTGTTTTCGCTGGTCGAAACAACCCGCTCATTCCTCTCTTGAACATTTCATTCGACACTTACAATCTTCTGCACCGCTGGTTCGGCCGGATTGTTGTCATCGAAGCTGTGATCCACACAATTGCTCACATCGCCAAAACCAACTGGGCATGGAACATGGTATTCGCCAAGCCCTTTTACGGCTGGGGTGCTGTGGTACGTTCTCTGCATGCTTGCTCACCTGAAATCTCACTCATGTTAACTCTTCTATTGTAGGCTACAATTGCATTTCTCGTGCTTCTCATTCAGTCATGGAGTCCCATCCGCCATGCTTTCTACGAGACTTTCAAAATTATCCACATCCTTGCTGCCGCCGCATCTATCGTTGGACTTTATATGCATCTGGCATCTGGAGCCCGAGACGGTTTCTTGAGCTACTGCTGGATTGTCATCGCACTCTGGGTTGCCGATCGAGGCGCACGCATCCTCCGCATCGTATACATCAACATCGGCCGTTCACGTTCTCGCACCGTCATCGAAGCCCTCCCCGGTAACGCCATCCGCGTGACCATGACTTTGGCGCGCCCATTCCGTGGCAGGCCTGGGCAACACGGCTACCTGTACATGCCTGGAGTCAGCCTGTGGCAGTCCCACCCCTTCTCCATCTCCTGGTTTGAGAGCACAGATGATGTCTCATCTGATAAACTGGTCAGCAACCACCAGGAGCGAAGGGCAATGCAAAAGATGCAGATTGGTTTCATTATTCGAGCAAGAACTGGCTACACAGACAACCTCTACAAAAGGGTAGCTGCCAGCCCGGCAGGAAAGATGGAAACTACATGCTTTTTCGAAGGCCCATACGGCGTGAAGCATCCTCTTGATTCTTACGGCACAGTGGTACTCTTTGCCGGAGGTGTCGGAGTTACTCATCAAGTTCCATATGTCAAGGACCTGGTTGCTGGGTATGCCAACGGAACTGTTGCGACCCGGAGAATCTTGCTGGTCTGGACCATCCAAAGCCCAGAGCATCTCGAGTGGATCCGTCCTTGGATGACCGAAGTCTTGGGTATGGATAAGAGAAGAGATGTGCTTCGGATTATGCTCTTCGTCAGCAAGCCCCGGTCTATCAAGGAGATCCATAGCCCCTCGTCCACGGTTCAAATGTTCCCCGGTCGTCCCAATATCGACACTCTCATGCAAATGGAACAGGAGCAGCAGGTCGGTGCTATGGCAGTCACCGTTTGTGGGCCAGGTACCCTCAGCGACGAGGTTCGCCGAGTTGTTAGGGACCGACAACATCAGACCTCCATCGACTTCGTCGAAGAGGCATTCAGCTGGTAAATGTCTGGACAAATAAAAACACTGTATAGTAGAATGAATCATGATTACATCAATGCAAAAGTCTCGTACAGTGCCCATATTTCCAACTCAAGTGAGTAGTGTCCGTGCTCACACCAGCGAGGTTATCGACGGAAAGAACCTCAGTAGTATACTGTAGTCTCTCTAAATATCCCTTGCCTAGTCAAAGTAATCATCTATAAGTACTGCCTACCTATATTCCTAGCACATCCGGTTGGCTCTAGGCTAGTTTCATCTCAGGTCATGCGGCGGGGGCTTTCTTTCTGCCTAGTAGTGCAAACTCTATATGTCGTCTAGCTCGTGCTTCGCCATCACTCTATCCTCACTCCCCAGTCATGAAATGCATAATAAAAGAAAACAATATCAAGATTCCCTGACAGTATTTAACAAGTATTTGATAGCGAGTCGAGTGTCTCACGTTGGTGTTCGATGTGGTCAACCTGGAGCTGCGGCTAGCGGGACTGATGGAACGGACCTTTCCCCCGGGCCCCACATTGTGTTCACGCGACACCGATAGCTCACGGCTGCGCAGGCACAATAGGCAGCTGATCTGTGGCTTGGACTACTCGCGAGCCAGCTTGTTCTCCCTCTTCCTGCTCCCTGGCCTGGTTCCTTACATCCCATCTTCGTTTCCATCCCAGAACAACAGTGCTTCAGCAGCATATCAACCTCATCACTTGTGCCAACGTCAAGTCTCTCTTCCTCGATCATATTGTTGCGTCATCACGGGTTAGGCACTACCACGGCCATCATGACATCACGGAACCTCATACCCATCCTAGTGGGGATGATGCTCTTAACTGGCGTCTGCAACACTCTCTTAACCAAATACCAGGTACTTCCCAGCCCAGCCCTTTGAATCCCGCCGGGTTCATCGTCAGTTTGCTGTAGGGGGGCCAGAGCTAACCCCATCACAGGATAATCAGTGTGTCCTCGACTGCGACAATCCCGATGTATCCAAGCGAAAACACTTCGAACAGCCGGTGCTGCAATCGGCCCAGATGTTTGTAGGCGAGATGGGATGCTGGCTCGTCGTTGCCATCATGGCTTTGCACCGTCGTATTACACAAAAATCATCACCGACTGACCAAGGATACCAAGCTGTCAATACCACCGATAACGGCGGAGAACAGGCGGCGGATATTGACGGGCCACCTCTCAAGGACGACTCTTTGCTCAAGGGCTTCCGCATCACCCTACTAGCGCTTCCCACCATCTGCGATACGTGCGCCACCACACTTATGAACGTCGGTCTCCTTCTCGTGGCGGCATCGATCTATCAGATGACAAGAGGCGCCCTCGTGCTATTCGTTGGTATTCTGAGCGTCACCATCCTCCGCCGTCATCTGCATATGTTCCAGTGGCTCGCGCTTGTTGGCGTTGTAGCAGGTGTCGCCGTCGTGGGGTTAGCAGGTGCCATCTGGCCAGATGAGAAGGCAGTGCACGCTGCGCTCAAATCCGACGAGGGGCTCTCGGTTACCACAAAGGCCATCATTGGCGTCTTGCTCATTGCGAGCGCCCAGATATTCACTGCCACGCAGTTCGTGCTGGAGGAGTGGATCCTGGAGCACTCGACCATTGAGCCAATTAGGGTTGTCGCATGGGAAGGTGTCTTCGGCTTCATCATCACTGTGCTCCTCATGGCGGTTCTGCACCTCTCTGTAGGTCGAACTGAGGCCGGGCGGCACGGACCATTTGATATGGTGTCTGGCTGGAATCAAATGGTGTCCAACAAGGCGGTTGGAATTTCGAGTATTCTCATCATGATCAGTATTGGGTAAGTACTCAGCAGCTGAGCTTCCTCGATTAGGAAAGCACGAACCTCACGTACTAACATGTTTTTCTCATAGTGGGTTCAATTATTTCGGCTTGTCCGTCACGAGGAGCGTCAGTGCTACATCTCGTTCTACCATCGACACATGCCGTACCCTCTTCATCTGGGTTGTCTCCCTCGGACTCGGCTGGGAGACCTTCAAATGGTTGCAGATTGTCGGATTTGCCCTGTTGGTCTACTCAACATTGGTTTACAATGGAATCGTGAACCCCCCATTCAAGTCTCTTGAGGCAGGAGAGGAGGTTGAAGAGCTCCTACCAGAGGAACCAGTTGAGTCCCGCCATTAGAAATGGGCAATAGTGCTTCTTGGTTCCCAGGATTCCCCGGGCTTTTCACACGCATCAACGGATTATTGGCGTTAGGTTTTGGATTAGTTAGATGGTGAATTCATACTACGAGCTTCCTTCTCATTGCTATGCTAGGACAAGTGGCATTTGAGCCACAGAAATCAACCCTTAATGCATTCAATCTAGACCTGTATGAAAAATGCCACATCTTCAAGACGAGAAAAACTACACGCCAATTGTTCCAGGCTCCCAAAACTCCAAGTACGCCGTTGCCCCCAACTCACTCAGAAGTGGTAGGCAGATAGAAGTTCAGCATCATCAAGAATCGTCATGTGACGGTGCACAAGAGCTCGGCTTCAAGAATAAACTTCCCCTCCTTGTACTTTTCGGAACTTTCGTATGCCTTGTCATACTTCCAACCGACTGTTTCTCTGCACTGGCGGCATACGATATCACGAACAACGTGCCGGCCGGTGGTCATGTTCCGCTCGTTGGCTTCTCCGGCCTCGACATTGACGACCGTATGGAAAAGATAGGCTTTTCCATGCTGGCCCCGAAAATTCTATGATGTCCAAATTAGTCAAGCACAATCCTAATAGAATGGCAAATTTGCCAGTGCTAGACAAATGCAAGAGGCCTCTTGGTATCGCTAGTGCACGGGAGCAGCGGCTTGGCGATGAGGGAACCTACACGACTTATAATATCTTCATGATTGGCAAGATGGGTCTTACAGCTTTTGCAGCCGTATATTTTGCTGCTGGTGAGATAGGTATTGTAGGCAAGACCCATTGTGATTGTGGGAAAGTGAAAGATGCTCGTCAGTATCTAATGAATGGTGGCTGCGTATGGGCATGCGTGCATGGGGTCGGTGTCCAGAGCGGGCGAGCGTAACCGAAGAAGAGTATTCCACGCAGCTGAAAGATTTCAAGCATGTATAGGTGTATGATATCCTAGAGGACAGCCCTTGTGAATCCGGTAGTTTTGGTCAAGGAACGGCGGCTGAGACTCAAGGCGTAAGAGCGCATGATGCAACCGAAGCAGGTAGGTTACGCCAGTGAGGTCACATGCGGAAGGAAGTGGTCCAGCTTCTTATCTTATCAGGGTCTAATTGGCTGCGGGGTCGCGGAAGGGAGCCGGCTTGGGTAGGCAGGCACCTGTGAGCTGGGACTGACCTGCTAATCCGTATGTATTTTGTAGTCAGGCTGCTAACCTAAGGCAGGTGCCTCGGTAGATAGTATTAATAAAAGGAAGCTACCAAGCTAAATATCAAATAAATCCAATCATTCGCAAGCGGCCACCTAGGGTCCGCCATGCTTAGAGCTAGCATCCGCCGCCTTGTCCTGAAGGTTATTGTAGTGCCAAACACCGTTCTCTCTGTCCTTCTCTAGCCGGTCTAGATCATCTTGGCTCAATGGAACACCCTCAATGCTCTTAACTCGCTTTCCCTCCAGAAACATAATATACCCGCCAGCGGCAGCCACAAGACAAGCCAGAGCGACGAACAAGCCAGTCGCCCAGCTGGGGCGAGTAAACCGGTTAAAGTGCCACATGAAAACCGACAAAACTATCTGGAGGAAGGTGTTCCAAACCATGAGCCAGATCACCAAGTCCAGCTTCCACACCTGAGAACCAGGAGCCCGGACGCCCGTAAGGGGAATATCAGGGATGGCTGCTGCTGGAAATGGCAAGAGAGCTGGAGCAACTTCACTTGTCCTCGTTTCCGCGTTTTTCGGCCCAAAGTCGATTGGTACGGTCTCCGATCCGGGAAGTCTGAACCAGCCACGGTGGATTCCGGCAAGGCGGCGCAACCCAGTGTCGTCCTTCGCGAGTCGATATTGAAGTATATAATAGAGGTCTCGGAACCGCCAAGGGGCAAGTCCAAACCCTGTAACGCAGAATAGGGCGTTCAGAATCTGCGAGTCCCATTCTATCCATTTCCTTCGTGGCGAGTCGATATCATTGCAAGTTGGGTAGCACATTGCGGGAGCTAGAAATTAGATTAGAACCTGTTAGCTATTTTGACCAAGCGTGTCTGACGGAAGTTTGATGCATACAGGCATTGCACAGTAGTAGAAACAGCATGCCACCCCACGCGACGATATTTAAGCCATATATAGTAACGATAAACCCGACTGGTGTTATGAAGTACTTCCAGAAGGCAAGCGCACCATCTCGGCTCGACTGGGCGAAGGTATGTTTCGGTGGAAAGTGGTAGCCATTCGGGAACGATGCCGCCTCAGGGGGTTCGACAGGTGATTTCCCTCTTGTCGAGGGTTCTCCAGAACTCTTCTGATTTGGGGTTGAATCGACTTCGGTCAAAGGTATGCGCTCGACTCGCGCGGCGCCAGTGGTGTTGGGGGCTTGCTTGACTTGGCGCGAAAAGACTGTTGATGCGATGCCTCCAGTAGCCGCCGAGAATCCATCAGGCAGTTTTGACCCTTGGAAGCCCAAGGAGACGCGTCTAAGGCTGCCATTCACGGATGAAATCGTCGACGATCGATTCTTTGGCGTCACTGGGATGCCAGGTGTGTCGGTGTTGGGTGCGGCTGATGTCCTGGGGGTGGCATGGCTGACTGGGTCAGCTTCTGTGGGGATCATAACTTCTTACTCTGGTCGCTACCAGCGCATGAGGAACAGACTGTTGGAGTGAAGAGAGTTGATAAAGGATCAGAAAAACCACAGGTCGAAGTTGATGAAGGGACCTTGACAGGAGCAAAGCTTTTTAAGGGAAAATTGACGGCATTTGATTAAGGCTCCGTAAAGTCCGCTGTATCAGTAAGTTGGTAGGTCACTACCATACCAATCCTAGTGGATGGAATGCTGATAACCGACCCCAAGAACCTAAAATGGTATACGCTAATAAGTTGAGGGCATTCGGTTTCGGGTTTTAACGAAGCCTTCCTGAGAAGCTGGGGGGTTCCCGAGGCCTCGGGTAATCCTTGAACAAAAGCAACCAAGAAATACACTTGCTCGTATTAACGCGAGGCCCATTTAGCCAGGTACGCAAGCAAGAGTCAGTGCCCTGTACGTACCAAGAGCCCCAGCCACTGAACACGCGGCTACCAGTGTTTGGCTTTTCACTGCCGGGTCGGGCCAGGCAACAGTGGCTAGGTACGGCAGTGAATCCGTTGCATGCCCTTTCCGGTGCAAAAAATTCAAATGCGTCGCTGACAGCCACATTGAAGTTGAACAAAATCACACAGAGCAACCGTTCCACCAAATTCATCAACTACACGGGAATCTAAAATGGCTCAACTATTGGAAGAAGATCCAGTCTCTCAGATCACTCAAACAGTGGTGCAAAATCTCGAGGATCAACATGACTGGACCTCTGTCGAGACTCATCACGGGGCTGGACAACGCCCTTTGATCAAGGGACTCCCTCCACGGCGCCTATACATTCATCCAGACGACCAAATCGCGGCCTTAGAACACGAGCATTCTACTGGAGTCCTTCTGCACCAGGAACCAGAATCTGAATGGGTTTTAGCTGTTCATCCCGCAGAGAAGTGGACTCTTTCCCGAATTGCCAGCGTTTTCGACTCGGTGGAGCACGCTGGCGAACGAGCGAAACGCATCGTGCTTGGAACGGTGCACAATGACTCAACAGTAGTGTATTACCTGCTACATGAAGGGTTGGTGAAGCCCCGTCAAAATTAATGCATCAAGTTCCAGTTAGCCCTCCCAACCTATACCTGCAATCTCGTACTAGGAGCCTTGGACCAACTTTAGACTCCTCGAGTCGATAGTATGGCAACATAGCGCTGTTAGACCTCTCTCTTTCAAGAGGGCGTAGCATCCAAGTGTATGCTAAAGCGGTATTATCTCATCCTACATGAAACTAAAGCTGGGGGTTGGCCTATTCATGGCATTCTCTTCGCGACAACGCCTTCAGGCACACCAAAAGACGTTGTTCCTTCTCGAACAAATCGAGCGACTCTAGTAAAATCCACGGCCTATGGGGCACCGGCTTAGGAAGTCACGAGATCTTTCCGATTTGCATAATGCTAATCAATATCACAACCCAATTCTACAACTCAAATTTGCCCATAATCCTCGGTGTCAGACCAGAGAATCTGTTTGGGCATTAGCCAACTGCTTGCAAGAAAAGAGCATTATCTCCGTTACATACATCAATCCTGCTAGTGGCATTGAATGACCCAATGATGTGAGAAGTTCCCAATGCTGGCGATAATTCTACGACGCACCACATTACCCGCACCCCTGCCGTACGTGGCCTCTTGGCTCGGTGCCATTATTCCTGTCTTGCCATGAAGTCCTACGGCTTAGCCTCAGCTTTCATACTTCCTCAAGCCGGCTGTCAAGGCCGTCGATAGCAAACAGATGATTCGGTTGCAGATTTGACTACAGTGATTTTGGTACATGGCCTAGCAGGTTCCCAGCCTATGATCGGTTGCTTCTCTCACATCAACCTTGGGTAAACCTTCAGGGACGATTTTCACCCCAAAGTATTCAATTAGGGTTATGTCTGTCATGAGAATGAGCAATGCTCCTTGAGAAAGAACGAATTATCTTTCTGGGTGGTCTTTTGCACTGGGTCGCAAGGTCCGAAGCAAGCGGCAGAACCGGACTGGAGAAGATGACTGCAATCACCTGGATATCAGCCGTGATGGTCAAGGCAGGGTTTTAGCTTTTGATTTTGCACTTCACACGAACGACTCTGTTTCCAGCCTAGGCTCTCTTTCAAAAGCGACCATTTTGAGAGAACTAATGAGACATGTCAGTGGGCTTGCTAGCTCGCTACAGACGATTGTTAAGGGCTCCCTTGAGGTGCCCAGCCCACATCGTGGCAGGTGGGTGATGTGGAAATCGACGGCTTGAAACACTGCGTCCAGCTTACATAGGTATGTCGATCGATGTGATGGTATCTTTCCATGATTACCAAGTAAGAAAAATTCTCTTCTTGACTAGTTTTATGAAATGTCTCTCCTATGCATGTTTTGTTTTTTCTTTTTTGAAATTGTGCGAGAGCCCTCGGTCATGACCTTGGTGTGCCCTATTCAGTGCCACCGATTTCCCTAGTAAACAGAGGAGTATGGCAGGTAGTGGGTTAGAATTTACATGTACTGGCTGGAAATTATCTTTGTCCAATGGCGAATCCTCAACTTCAACACACTGCGTGCATGTACCGGCTTGTTTCTGGGATCAGCAAGAATAGGCGGGCGAGGCATGGATGATGGTAGATGGAACCGAGACCTGGCTTGGTCTGCCAATAGGGCGCGTGCGCCACCCCACCACACTGGACTAGCAGGGCTGGTCTGAGCAGAGCCCAATCGAGTCCCACTGCCACTGCCACCCCCGCAGCAGCCCCATCGGCAGAGGGCGACATGCACTGCCCAGCGGGGACCTACCACAACAGTTGGCGGCTCTGCTCTGCCTTCCCTTGCCTTGTGAACGTCCCATGCAGGCGGCAACTTTGAGAAGCCTCGTTCAGGGCTGGGAAGAAAAGGCCGTCGTTCGGTTTTTACCGAGTAATCGCCTGGGTTGGCCACGCTATGGGCCGGGCAAGCAAGTGGAGGCTCCTCGTCTCTCCGCAATCGGCCAGCTCCCCCAGTGCTAGGTAAATCACGCTTGTGAATGGGATATCCACAGCCACCGCCGCATACTGATACCACACCCGGCACGCTCAGATGGAGGAGATATGTGAAGGGCCTCGTAACGGTCCGGAGGCAGCCATACATGGACCCATTACATTGCATGGCCTGCACTAGTAGCATCGGTAAGCAAGCAAGCATGGCTCAATTGTGTGCGAGTAGCGAGGGAACCTGCCAAGCAATGGAAGGCGCGGGCCAATCAACAGCGGCCACAGCACGCGCTCTAGTGGAGAGGTGGTACAGAGTACCTGGCGCAGCCGTGGGGGGACTTGGCACTGTACTTCCCCGTCTATCGGGACCAAGTCTCTATCTACTATCCGTCGCGCGTCATTGCACTGCCAGATCTAGTGGATCGGCCAGCCCCTCAGCTAGCGAGGTACCTGTCAGCCCATGGTCGGAACTCGTCGCGCTGGTAGCTCTCCAAGTACCCATCAAAGACGCCTTCTCCATCTTCTCAACACTACTAGCGCGGCCTGCCTACTCGAGGTACTACCGTTAAGGTTTTAGCCGCCCGCATCCCGCAACTTTCAAGTTCCCTCCCTCTCAACCACTCCCAAACAGCCCTCGCTCCCAGTTGCATGCGCCATTCCGAGCTTTCTAGACGACGTCGCCGCCCAAGCATCCATCTCCGCCGGGGCCTCTTGTGCCTATTGCCCACCTCCATCTCCGGCCCAGTCTCCTCTATTTCCACCCTTCCCTTTTCGGCGACAGCGGCTTACAGCGTCATCCTCAGTGAGGCTATGTCATGCACCCAAACGTAACCGATCCCTACGCGATGCAGCCTGCCACTACGCACTGAGTAGCTTTGAACGCGGATCGCTTATCAGTCTCATCCTTTACCAACAATCGCGGGCGCGGCGCATCTTCTTTGGAGGCATAGCATTTGCTTGCCAAATGCATCCGCCCACGCGATTCGAAACCGGAACAACGCAGTGCGACCTTGGGTCGATTTCGAGTGCTTCAAGTCTCACTCAATCCTAGGACCCGCGGGGTCCTGCGGGGTGGGCGGTGTGCTGATCCCAACAAATTGATTGACTCTGCGATTTGACGAGTACCGGATTTCTGGCCGGCAGGTTCCCTTCGAGCAGCTACAAGAGGGTACTCGGAATTGTCTCGCCCTCTTCCTTGCTTTTCTCGCGTTTTAGGCGCCCGGTTCTGGGGCGGTCGCCACTCGAACCTGGACACGACCAACCTGAGCGCCGTGGCTTCCTTAGAGATCCCCAAGCCTGCCCATCTGGGCCATGGCACTTTGAGCGACTGCGGCGTCATCTGACAATAATGACCGAGGCGGCGGCTACCCAACCGCACGTCAACTGGCCCGAAGACCCTGTTTTAAACGAATATACCCCGAAAAGCCCTCTGATGAAGAAGTTAGAACTGCGAGGATCATTGCCACCGAGTCCACCACCCCAAAACTCTTTTCCACCACCCTGCTTTGCCACGGACGACGACGACTTCTATGCCACGCCCAAGGGTCAGATATACCCTGGGGATGCCTTCCTCATCCAGAATTTGGACAACAATCGTAATGCTTCCATTGCTCAGAATGCGGCTGTGGCACCCCTGCCGTCGATACATTCAGCAAGTAGTCAATGCGACAGGGAGCCTCTATATCGACGAGAGCCAGCACAACAGACCCCACCTAACGGTTATTCAAAGCCCAAAGAGCAGCCACCCACAACTCCCCGAAGCCTTGAGCACCTCGCTGCAAACGCGTTAAAATGTGTAATAGAACCCCCGGTAAAGCTTGAATCACCCCTTACCAAGGACATATCGAGGTCGACGTTTTATCTATCGATCCACGATAAAGAGAGCAACCCGGCCAGTTCTGTTCCTAACGGCTTCACGTTTCGGAAAGAGCATGTCAAGATTAACAATCTTTCCTCTCCTCCCGCCAGCTCTACTGCTAATAGCTTCTCCACGTTTCGGAATGACAATATTTTCTCTCCCCCGGCCAGTTCTACTGCGAACGGCTTCTCGACGTTTCGGAAAGAGCATGTCAAGATTGACGATCTTTCCTCTCCCCCCGCTGATTCGACCGCCACCAGCTTCTCCACGTTTCGGAATGACAATATTTCCTCCCCCCCAGCCATTTCTACTGCAAACGGCTTCTCGACGTTTCGGAAAGGACACGTCAAAATTGACAATCTTTCCTCTCCCCCAGGCAGTTCTACTGCTAACGGCTTCTCCACGTTTCGGAATGAACACGTCAAGATTGACAGTCTTTCCTCTCCCCCGGCCTTAACTCCTGACAGTGCCGGGTTGCCACCGTATTCTCCAAGGGATGCTAATAACAAGCCAACCATTCCATCACTCAGAACGACATTTGGTGACATTAACTTTTTCTCAGACGAGGAAAGGCGGCAAAAGGAACTCGCTTCGGCCTCAGGCTCGGGCTTCATGACATCGCTTCATCCCTATCAGATTCCCGGATCAGCTAGTCACCACGGCAAGGCTCCAATTTCCCCCCCTGATAGCTACCAAGCATCCCCACAAGCTCTCCTTGCTACGGGTTCATACTTGGCTCCTACTGTATCGACGCATATTCCGAGACAACTTACTGAGGAGGAGGCTATTAAGGAACTCAACTTCCGAAAAGCTACCTCAACTATTTCCATCCCTGTCCCTCTCTCGCCCTCATCAATTCCAACTCACCCACCTCCAACTGAGTCGGTCATTGCTCCTGCACCTACTTATGTCTGCACGTTCGCTGGTTGTAAAGCGCCTCCATTCCAAACGCAATATCTTTTAAATTCTCACGCCAATGTTCATTCTTCGGCCCGTCCGCACTACTGCCCGGTTCAAGGATGTTCTCGAAGCGAGGGGGGGAAAGGTTTCAAGCGAAAGAACGAAATGATCAGACATGGCCTCGTTCACGACTCCCCCGGATACGTCTGTCCCTTTTGTCCAGACCGTGATCACAGATATCCACGGCCGGATAATCTTCAGAGGTACGTGTGATGACTTGACTCTTTCAACCATGTCCCCCACCCTAAACATCAAGAACTCTGTCTGTATCGAAATCTCGCATTTTACATTCTAACCCTCACCACTGCAGGCACGTCCGTGTACATCACAGTGACGAGAATAAGGATGACCCACGGTTGAGAAATGTACTTGCCCAACGCGCCGATGGCCCCAACCGAGGGCGACGAAGACGTGGGATGCCATTATAAGACTGCATTAGACCACTGGGAAAATTTACACTATCAGAAGGCCCCCAAGGGGCCAGTGATAGGCCACCTTATTTGTGTGATGCGTTGATGCTCATTACGGCTTTTTCCATCTTTGCTTATTTGTTTTTTTTTTCGTTCAATTTGATTACAAGGCAAGGCGTTCAACCAGCGAATGAGTTTAGGAGTTAGGACCTCGGTCTTAAAAAAAATTTCATGTTCGGGTGTTTTCTTTTTCAAGGTGCATGGTCGAATTCGCGTAAATGGATTGTTTGGATACTCTAAGCCTTGTATGAACAGCAAATAGGGTTTGACAACTTACAGCAACACCAATCAAGGAAAGGCGAGAAGCAATGAAAACGAGAAGCCCGCCCGTTACTCTAATGCCATATTTCATCAATTGTCTCCCATGGCCCAACCTGTACAGGCGAGTCGCTGAAAATGTAAGCCTGGACGAGATGCTCTTCGCCTCCCATCCCCATGCCCTCGACCAAGAGCCACATGCCTACAGAATTGGACCTTTGTGGCTCCATATCGAATTCTGAGGTACGCAGGCCAACAGCCGCAGCCTGAAACTCGCCCTCACCAGAAACTGCCTCGGTAAAACGATCCTGGCCCCGCCCGACAACAATGCTCAGTCGAAGTAGCAGTGTAGAAGCGTACCGAGAGTTGGTGCTAACCATGACGCTTGCTCTTGTCAGCCATTGAACCGAGAGTGGCGCCTGCATCCTTCGGGCTCCCTGTGAGAGTGTCAACGGGCTCAAGGGAGCACGGAGTCTCCCAGCGGCCTCAGCAGGGATAGGCTCAAGTGTAACTGGGACCATGGAAGACACTCGAAGAGCAAACTTGGCAACATGCCCTGCGTCAAACGTTGAGCATACGAGTGTGTATACCCCTGGGTCAATATGGGCGATGTCCGCCACAGCACTTCCACGGCGATATTCCCCAGTTGATGCCACCAGCTCCTTGACCTTGACACTGCTCACTCGCTTCCCGTGGCCCCATACCAAGTCCACGTGAACGTGGGTATCAGAGCTGTCTGTTGATAAAAGGATGGATAGGGACGTTGACTTGGGTATCGAAACACTGTATTGGGGGTTTGTAAAATACGTAGCGCACGTTACATTCCCCCCTGCAGTTCTTCTTTTCCAAGCCCCCTCAAACTCTTCGCAATAAGCCATGGCCTCTGAAGCTTTCTGCAATTTGACCAAGCTATGGGAGAATGTTGACAGGGTGAAGGTATATTTACTGAGGGGGAACTCATGCTGGTCCACCACAATGGTATACCACTTGCCTGCAGTCATCTCAAGGCGGGCAAGTGTTTGCGGTGAATCAACATATGGGCCACGATACGTCTCGCCGTCGGCAATCTGCACTCGTTTCCCGTTTGAATCAAAAACAATAATGCTCATGAATCCAAGCTGGCGGGAAGCTGCAGCCAAATTGGTGGTCCTCCTCCGAACGATCTCGAGCTCGCCATCCACAAAGTGACGACTGACGAGGACCCAAACGAGGCCTCCAGTTGGTGAGACGATTGCAAATTGAGGATTTCGTACCACTGATGAGGCATAACATCCGGGGGAAATCTCCCATTCGAAATGATGGTCTTGTCGATGCTGGAAGAGTTTTGGGTTCCAGTTGAGGTACATTGACTCGAAGTTCTGGGCCACATCCTCCAGTGTGGCCCAAAGACAGCCCGGGGCGTCTTCCAACCCAAAATCTGCTTCCTTTTCCTGGTTCGTGGCATGATCTTGGCCAGCCTCTCGAGACGAGTGACTGCCAGCGGAGAATGAGGCCGGAGTCCAAGTTGGCCCCCCACACCAGGGGTTCTTGACCAAGAGTCTGCGCTCGCCGTCGGAATCGTCAAGACTCTGAACGGCATAATCATGTTCGCCAACCAAACCGGAGGCGTTCTCTTCTTCAGCGGAGATAAATCCGGTGCCTATAGTAATGACGACATCTTGGGAGTCATGGGCTGCTTTGATTCTCGCCCACACTTGGTTAATATCCACGTCCTCTCTACATCACCTATTGTCAACACTCAATTCAATACTCGAGGGTCAAGCAAGGGGGGCTCTAATTACTTTTGCAAAAACACCTGCTCGGGGATCCATCCAGTAAGTACCCACAGATCAGTTCCCGAGTTGCTCCCAGGAAAGTCATACCCACCTCTGACCTTCAGGTATGCCTTTTCCAATAGTGCGGGCCATAGGAGGCGGGGGTTCGAGCGGTCCACGACGAAGAATTTCCCCTCATCCTGCGAGGCAGGTAATCGATCATCGATTACGACCCGGCGGGAACAGCCGTTGAAATTCAGGCGCAAGATGTATTTACCCTTGAGCGAGAGATGCGGCCGACCCTGAGAGTAATCAAAGGGGTAAATGATAGAGGAAAGAACCTGAGCACATTAGATAATGGATTCATTTCGCCTACATGTCAGATATCAAATAGCCTACCGAATGCTTTCCTGTCAAAATCTTGATTGCAGCGGATAGGCCTGCTACGACACTGCAATCGGTCGTCATATCTTGAACCAAATCGGGTATTTTATGTGAATTCATGAAGAGCGTATCTAAAGACTCGCGAGTTTCTTCATGGAGATAGTCTAGATCAGGAGCAAGCACATCCATTGGTCGCCTCCAACCCGCAAAGGTTGTAGCCTGTGCTGGTGATAAAGTGAAAGGAGTATCATCACTGCGGGAAAGTCGCACCATTGGTTAGCCCCGGAGTCTGTTGCAAATTCAGGTAACGCAATATCTAGTGACAACATGGCTCACTAGCTGGCACAGTACCGAGTGAGCACCTGAGCAAGAAAACCGACATACACATAGTTCTCCCCGTTGGAGGGGCCTTCGAACTCATCATCAGAAGGCTCCGCTTTCCATTGCGGGAAGACGTTCCCATGAAGAGATGAAGCATGACGAAGAATCTTCTCTTCGGCGGACAAAGTGGACACGAGTATTTTTTTAAGTTGTTCTGCACGGTCAATCAGTTCGCCGCATTTACGGCGAAGACGGTTTGCGTCAGCTTTTGTCACAGCCTGGGATGCGGCGGCCATGTAAAGATCGGCGGCACGGAGAGCATGGTTGAATGCATCCTGCCCAGTTGAAACGGCTACTAAAGCCTCAGCATCCTAAAGCATATGGTTAGCCTCATGAAGCGAGCGTGAAGCGAGACACCAGAGAGGTTTCTGTAACAGCTAGCCGGGAGCCGACTAGTTGCTGAAGAACAAGGGGCAATCTAACCCGAGCTTGCCTTTCCATCATTTACTACAACATCTTTTGTCGTTAAAAGGGCCAAGACGAGATGACGAGGGGGCGGGCGTTGGCGCAGCACAAATAATCAAGATCCAGCCCCAACATGTGATGGAAAACGACGACCACGAAGAGCGGGTATGTCTGGTCTGCTTGCTGAGCGCCCTTTTCCCACCAATAGCGATAGGGCCCTAGCTGTAAGTGAGGGATGAGTTTGGCTTGGCAATTAATCCATAGTAATATGATATCACAGGAACGACCAATTGATCAGTCATTCATTTTGTGATTGGGTTGGTTCCAGTTCACGTAATGGCTGGAGCCAAAAGGTGGAGTATGCTGCCTGCAGGGTAGGCAGAAGCGTCACAGGAGGTGCCAAGTGGGTGACATGAGAAATAAGACACCTGATAAAAAAACATGCTACTTTCCGAGATAAATAAGTAAAATTTTGAGTTATATAAGAAGAAATCCAGTAACAATATATACTGTATTATCTCAAGTACATATTATTAGTACTCAATAATCTGATAATATTGCTCGCAGGCTTGAAAATAAGCAGCTTAATGTTTGAGTGTCTCAATTTCAATGTCACGTAAACATACCTTACTAGCGGTGTGCTTACTTAATGTTAGCCTGGACAAAGAAAGGCTACCAAGTGTGAGGAGTTCGTTACCTAATCGCAGCGGGGGTGGCCTGCAGGCAAGGAGGTGGACATGCAGGTGGACGGACTTGACTCGTCAAACCCAGGACAAGTATCTCGACAGACTCCGCCGAACGAGCTGTCTCCCCAGGTACAGAATGATAGTAGTTCAGGTGTCTAGCGTTGTGAGCATGTAAAATCCAAAATCAGCTCGGCGTGACGCACATTGAAGAGGATCATGATACTACGAGACCTGAGGCCCCACTGGCCACTAAAGTTGTTGTCATTCCCAGGGGCTTAGGTATCATCTATGTGCGCCTTCATCAAATCAATCAAACGGCAACGTCGCGGTAATACATCTGGTCAATCCATGCCTAGTGACTCAAATGTAATGTAGGTGTGGTGTGCCAGTGCCGGAGCCCTTCAGCCGGGATCTGTCTTGCCGATGCTCCAATCAATCGAGGCCCGGCGCTGGTGTACAGTATGATCAAGATCCGATGCAACTAAGACTGCGCAGGCACATCCAACAAACTATCCTGCTTGGGTATTAATAGATCCTGGCTGTCTGACCAGTAGATAATGGCCATGCCATGGACAGAGTAGATTGTAGCCGAGGCTTCTGCCCCATCTTCCCGTCGTCCTGTGGGGATTTTTTGCCGACAGTCGGCCCTTGTGCCCATGCAAGACCCGAGGTTCGTCACTCGTGACGGTACATACATGGATGATCGATCTGGGCCATGAACACCCGCCTGCAGCCACAAGCCGTTGATATCATCCACCCATGGCCCGGACCTGGTCACCCTTTGGGACTATTATCATGTCGCCCAAGAGTTAGCCTCCTTGCATCTCAACTTCACGAAACGCGGTATGAGCCCTCCAGTCACCCCCCTCGCTAGAACTGATCTCAATGGCTTGTTGACGCACTGACACGCCCATTCTTGCCGACAGACAGACTCTGCCTACCTGCGTAGAGCCTGTACGCTTTGCGCCGTCCTCCCAGCTCCCTCTCAGACCTTCCGCTTCTCGCTAGCCGTCCTCCACTACGTTCGGATCTTCATAAACGCGCACATTGCACCATGGCTGGTCAATCAAAGGAGATTTCGCCCTGGGGCAAAGCTGTCGCGGGCGCTACGGGCGCTGTTCTTGCTAACGCTCTCGTCTACCCTCTTGACATGTGAGCGCCCCTCCAACACCTTTGTCAATCGCCAAATTCACCGCGTTAAGTTCTAGACATTTCCCATCAAAACAAATGCTGACATTCCCACCTTCTGCCACAGCGTCAAAACAAAACTCCAGGTCCAGGTTCGGTCAAATGAGAAATCCATCGACGCTGCCGACGCCCCCGTGTACGACTCGACCTGGCACGCCCTATCCAGCATTGTGTCCGATGAAGGGGTTGAGGGCCTATATGCCGGCATGAGCGGCTCTCTGCTCGGCGTCGCGTCAACCAATTTTGCATACTTTTACTGGTACAGCATCATCCGAGCTCTCTACAGCCGCTCTGCGAAGTCGGCCGCCCCTCCCTCTACCGCTATCGAGCTATCTCTAGGCGCAGCCGCTGGAGCTATTGCCCAGTTGTTTACCATCCCCGTTGCTGTCGTGACAACCCGACAGCAAACCGCCAGTAAGGGAGAGCGCCGCGGGCTCATCGCAACAGCCCGTGAGGTGGTCGAAGGGCCAGACGGAGTCTCTGGGCTGTGGAGGGGTCTGAAAGCCAGTCTTGTTCTTGTTGTCAATCCTGCAATCACATATGGTGCCTATGAACGCTTGAAAGTTGTTCTCTTTCCGGGCAAGGCCAACTTACGGCCCTGGGAGGCTTTTGGTGAGTACAGCGTCCTAGCAACAATCAACAAGCTCTCCAGCTAACTTACATACACTAGTCCTGGGTGGCCTCTCCAAAGCTTTGGCTACCATTGCTACTCAACCATTGATCGTTGCCAAAGTCGGCCTCCAATCCAAGCCTCCCCCGGCCAGAAACGGAAAACCCTTCAAGAGCTTCGGTGAAGTTATGAAATTCATCATCGACAACGAGGGGCCCCTGAGTCTCTTCAAGGGAATCGGTCCTCAAATTCTGAAGGGGCTTCTAGTCCAAGGAATTCTGATGATGACAAAAGAGAGGTGAGAGACAGCGTTTACTTTGCCCTTGACAGCAGAATGCTTGCTGGGTAAGGTTTGCCTGCTAACATACTCGCAGAGTGGAATTACTTTTTGTTCTCCTCTTCCGATATTTGAAATCGCTCCGCCTCCAACAGCTGAGAAGTGCCGCTCAACGAGCGTCAACAAGCATCGGAGACTCTGGGCTTGACCTAGCCTCCAAAGCCGAGGCTGCTATAACGACAACGACGACATGATGGCGCAGCCGGTTGTTTCTTTCGGTTGGTACAAGATGGCTCAGGGAGGGATAGAATTGATTTAGTATTTCAAACCAGCCATGGCATCAATATATATACTCAAAACTATTATTTGCACACCACAAATGCATTGCCTATATCCCTCAACGTTAGAAAAGAATTATCCTTGATCACACCTAGAGAAAGTATGAACTATCATTCAATCACCCGCAGACGAGGCGGCCTGCTCTCATTTGGCCCTTCCGGGGGGTATCAGTGGAGCAGCGCCACACAAGCTCGCCATGTCAAGCCACAGATTATGTCAGCTTTCCACCAGATTTTGTGGGCCGGTCTTAGGTTTACCCAATTCAGCCATGCTAGGGCTAACTGTGGAAAATTCCCACACATGATTTCGTTCTCATCAGTTACGAACTTGGATTCTTGAGTATCTCACACAACATCCAACCGACGCCATGGCCAGTGAGTAGTTGTGAACCGAATTTATGCGCTTCTAAAACTAATGTATTCGTGATCAGAGTCAAAGAACAGCTCGCAGCACAACCAGCAGCGCAAGGCTCACCGTAACGGGTCAGCACCGATTCAATTCCCCGAATTTTGCCCAATACAATACTGATAGCCTACCCCAGTATCACGAAGCCCAAGACCTCGAGATACCCTTCGCTCAAGGGTGTTGACCCCAAGTTCCGTCGCAACCACCGACATGCTCTCCACGGCAACGCCAAGGCCTTGGTATGCCATCATTCTCGATAGAATCGCGGATCGAACTTGACTAACAACCTGTGTAGAAGGAGGCCAAGGAAGGCAAGCGCGAAAATGTTTGAAAGCATAGATTGAAGGGAAGCGACAAGGAAATGCTCTTAGGGTGAGGATTGACGGTCAATCCTTCGCAGGCTACATAGAGAAACCTCGCACGACACAAATCCGTGACGTTGGACTGGAGCCAGGAATACAAAAATCGAACCCATATTGGAGTGCTCTTTATGAGGCATGATCCTCTCGTACTACGTGATTCCCTTTTGAAGCTCTGCTTTCACCATCGATACGAGGTAATCTCATCAAACTTGACCCCCCCTTGAATGCTGTCATCAATAAATTGGAATGCTCGCGTTGGACAATTCGGGCAGAATCCCACCCAATAAAGTGCACTGGGTGATAGCTGTGGTTCCGCATACTCTACATGCTCTAGTTAACCTACACCAAGTCTGAGTTATTTATATCAATTATTGGCTCAAAAGGGAAGCGTACTCAAGGAAGGATTCACGATTCTACTAATATCTCCATAAATAAGTTTCGCTTACCTAAGAGTGTACGTACCTCGGGTCTCCTCACCTTATCCAGGCTAGATTCCAAGTCAGCTCAGTTTTCGGGCCACAACGCTTTACCACCTGTCCTTGCTGGGTCCTCGACTTAACTCCATACCCCCGGAGGTCTCTCTTCCTCGTTTTCACATTTCTCCTTGTTCTCAGTCGAGCTTGTGACGACAACTGTCAACTGACTGCCTGGACGCAGACGTCTTCTCGTCGCGACCTCGAGCCTCTACATTTTTAATCCCCTCGGTCAGTACACCTTGATGCTCCCATTGCAACTTTTGCCCGTTCTATCGCTAAATGTCCATCCCCTTTCACACGATGTATGCTAACCAGTCTCCAGCTTCTCCCAGCGTTGCCTTCCTCATCTCCGCATTTCGAAAATAGACGATGAAATAATTCACCCTTCACACACTTGTCGAAACTCCTTTGAGGTCAGCCGGTCACTGCAGGAGATAGACAATACCCTCGATTTCATCACATAGCCAACTCTCGTTGTCGCCCTTTTTGACGGGTAGATTCTGAACAATTCGTATCCATTCGCCATTTTTACATCAACTGGAAAGGGCCCTTCTCTCTCTTTATTAATACCTCAGCTCGATAATGCTCAATATGTCCGGAAACCACAACGTCGGTAATCGCAACAGCACTCCCGAGGCAAACACAACGTCCTCGTTGCGTCCTCCTTCTTCCAGAGCTGTTGGCTCTGGACATTCTTTGCGCGCCTCCGCGGATATGGCAGCCCTCGCTGGTCCTCCCTCGGCCAATCGAATCCGCCCATCTTCCGATTTTTATGGACAAAGCCAACAGGCTCAGGGGCAAGGCAACTCGGACTCCGACCCCCAGGACAAGATTGCGCAGCAGTGGATTGCCGATATCGACCAGTATGAGACCACTCTCGAGGAAATGGCCGCAGCTACTCTCGATCAGGATTTCAAGGATGAGCTGAGTGCCATCGAACAATGGTTTCGGGTTCTGAGCGAAGCTGAGCGTACTGCTGCCCTGTATGCTCTGCTTCAACAGACTACCCAAGTCCAAATCCGCTTCTTCATCCAGGTGTTGCAGCAGATGGGTAAGAATCATCCCATGTCTGGTGTCTTGTCTCCAGCCAATTTTGATAAGGGTACAATTCCAATTGACGAAGCTTTTGCTTGATTTCGCGACTAACATATCTGCCATCCTAGACCCAATGTCGAATCGGCTCAGCGACGCTATGAGCAAGCTCAATGTGGACTCGACTCGTAACTCGTACGCTCGCAACTCGACCATTAGCACCACGAAGCGTCACTCCGGCCTCGACCCATCTACGATCAATGCCATGTTTCCAGATGCCGCCGCCGCAATCGCCACTGAAAAGGCCAAATTCACCCAACAAACTGGAAATTTGCCGGCTTCTAACCGCAACAGTGCTGCGATCGATGCCAGGACCTCGGCCATGGCAACACCAGGTCTTCCTCCGCCTCAGGAGGCAAGGGAGGGCGCAACGCAAGGATCATCAGGCTTGGCGTGGGTCGGCAACACCTCCAACGATCAGACTGCCGCCAAACCTGCCACGTCCCAGACGCCTATGGGTCAATTCGTGCAGCCACCTCCTTCTGCCGGTTTGAGGTCCCCACGGTCTCAGGTACCAAACAGCGCCGTGCCTCAAAAGAACGCTCTTGCGGGCGTCGACAAGAGCGAACTACCCGTCTTGTCTCCCTACGGCCATGGTGGGAACTGGGCGTCCATGGTGAACACCCCAATGACTGCAACCTTCACTTCTGGCAACAATCAAGGTGGCACTCAAGCTGACATGGTGGCAAACGCAACTGCCATGAAACTGGCCGCTCTTTCCACGGTTAACAACCGCTTTGCTCTGGATGATGTTCGCAAATACCGCCGCGCAAGGTCCAACGATGCTAAGGGTTCTAACCAACCTCCCCTTTCTCCCGGCTTGCCGTCTGCTCAGGGTATTAATTTGCCCGGCACTAACGTGGTCATGATCAACGAACATGGCCAAGTGCTCAATCGTGACCAGATCCTTGCTATTCAAGCCCAGCAGAATATGGGACTTACTGGACAGAGATCGCGCCCCAACTCTCCAGGCCTTGCTATGCAGGCTGCCACGCTGAGTCCAGTCCCAGCTGCCTTTACATCGCCTCAGCACAATGGGTTTCTCAGTGCCTATGAAGGGTCTCCGGGACTAATGACGGGCGGATTCCCTGCTGGTGTATTGTCACCCTTGGGTGTCGGTCATGAGGGCTACTTGTCTGATCATTCCGATATGGGGCGCGGACGATCGCCTCGTGGAAGGAGGGGAAGCTCGAAGCCGCCTGAGGATCCAACTGACCCCTCTCTTTTGCAAGACATCCCAAGCTGGCTCCGAAGTCTGCGACTCCACAAGTACACGGATAACCTGAAGGACATGAAATGGACGGAGCTTGTCGAACTCGACGATAAAGCCCTGGAGCAACGCGGCGTCAACGCCCTTGGCGCTCGACGTAAGATGCTCAAGGTTTTTGAGCAGGTCAAAGGTATGTAGTAACCCGACAGTCATGGCATCAAAAACATTGTTTCGCTAACACCATTCCAGAAGCGAAGGCCGACGGAAAATTGGCCTAAGGAGTATCGGCCACAACTCAACCCGTGCGCCTGCAATTGTAGCCTAACTTTTGTCTGCTGGAAATCGCGTTTACTTTTCTTTCTATTGTGCTATGTCTCTTGTCATATAATTGAAACCAGGGGTTGCCCTGGTTTCTACCATCGTCTCAAAGTAATTTCGTTACTTGAGCATTTAAATACAATGTGCAAATAGTCGCCATCCTACTTCGACTATGGATTCTCATGGAGCAAGTGATCTATTACGCAAGTATTGTAATAAGCATGATTATTGACAATTCTACCCTGAATGGTTTGCTTGGGAATTGTGTTCTGAACTGGATGGCTTGGATGAATCTGAAGGTATAGGGTAGGTATCACTTCAATGAGTGCGACATCCGTCATTGCAAAGTCAAACGGGCTAAACTTAGAACCTAGATCATTCAAAGTCATCGTATTCCAACCCCGTCTTTAGAATATATGAGATATTTGATCGTTTTATTCTCGGATTGAAGGAGAATTAATCAATAGCTTTGACGTTTGCCTGGTTTCGAGATCTCTCGGATTGCGTAGGCGCAAAATCAGTACGCGAATGGCTAATGCTAGGTCTCAGTCATGGCGCGATGATCACCTTGGGGAGGAGTGAGTTTTAATACCACCTGCACCGGATTCGTTGAATGTGCTAAACTGAGTCACAGGGAAACCTCGGTCAGTGCGTCAGATGCCGACTCTGACCTTGAAGAGCTTGAGGGAGACATCGCTAGATTTGATGAGACAGTCCGACAGTTTCTCGCCACACATAATGGCGGCACAGAGCCAACTGCTGTCCCATCAGCTCAACCCTCCACGCGAGGGGCACCGAGAGGTCGTGGTGCTCGCGGACCTAGGAAAGCAGCCAAACCCAGAGGAGATATCACAGCACGGCTTGCCAAAGTGAACCAGGCCTTTCTCGCTGGAGACTATGCGACAGCTCTCACGCTCGCCTCTGAAGTGATCAGGATCAATGCTGAGACGCATCAAGCGTGGACATCTCTAGCTTCTATCTTCGCGGAGATTGGCGAGATCACTAAATCCTTGTCCGCTATGGTGTACGCTGCCCATCTGCGTCCCAAGGACGTTCCAGGCTGGCTAAGGTGCGCGTCTTTTGCACTTGACAACATTGAAGAAGACGTCGAGGGAAACTTGCACACAGCGCGCCTTTGCTACTCTGCTGCCTTGAGGGCCGACTCATCTAACTTGGATGCTCGGATTGGAAAAGCAACGGTGTGTCATCGGCAGGGCCACCTGGGAGCAGCCATTATGGACTATAAAGTTGTTCTCAAACATCGCCCTCACGACTTAGACTTGGTAAGAAAGCTTGCAGAGGCCTGCCTTGACAATAAGCACATAGAATCGTCTGTCCCGGCCGCTATTTCCTCTTATAGGCGCTACTTTGATCTAGAAATCGGATCAGTATTGACACAAGCTGATGAGCCCCCATGGCATGATATTGGTATATATGTCGAACTTTTTGCTTCTGTTGGTCGTTACGATGAAGCTATTTCTGAGCTAAAGTCCCTTGCACGATGGGCCGTTGGTCGATCGTCAGAATCATACTGGGATCAGTGGCAAGGCGATGACCGCGAATGGGATGAAGGAAATGATAGGCGACTTGGTGTTCCAGAATTTGCCTCCAGCCCAGGAAATCACATGCTTTATGGTGTCAGTCTGCCCCGAGACCTCCGAGCTCGTTTGGCTATCTATCGTCTGGGCATCGGACAGGATTCTGAAGCATTTGTAGGTTTGTCCCCGGCAAGCCCTAGCGAATGAAAGCTATTCTACGTCTCCCAAACCAAGAATCTAACTATGTCATAGGAGCACCTAAACTGGCTGGATCCAACTGAACACCATACTCGAGATTTTGTTGGCGACTTCCCTTTTCTTGCATTCGACGTGGCCTCTGAGCTTTACCGTCATGCGCATTTCAGCTTGGCCGCCAAATTTTTGGAAGTTCTTCGAGAAGTATCCGGAGAGCCTGATGCGACAGTTCTACTGGAACTTGGACGGTGTTATCTAGCCACTGGCGGAAACGCTGCTGCCGAAGAGTGCTTCCTTACAGCTATTGAGGTGGATGAAGAGAGTATCGATGCTCGCATCGAGCTTGCAAATATGTATGAGAAAGCCAAAGAAGATGAAGAGGCCCTCATCCTGGCAGCCGAGGCCATGGCCCTCCAAGAAGCCCACGATCAGCCATTAACAGGTACACGTCAAAGTGAACTGGCATCCCATCGACGCCGATCACAGGACGGTGCAGGCTCACGTGTCCGGAGACAGAAGGTAGGAGGCTTATCCGGCAGGGCCACTAAACGGCCAGTCATACCTCGGAGATACCGACCAAAGCGGCTTGCCAACCCTGACAAGCGGCGTCAAGAAGAACAAGCTCATGCTATCAGACTCTCACGTCAGTATTCGGCAGTATGTGAACTGAAAAATCAGATCAGATCTGGGCGGGATGACTTGGTCGACTCCTGGATGCGATCTTCTCGCGAATTGATCGATGACTTCCGATCACTGAAGAAATTCTACTCATGGGACAAATACCTGAACTTTCTGAGCAGCTCAAAGAGCCCCCAGCCTTTGTCGCGCTACCAGCCTAGCTCTGAGCTGAGCCAGATGTATGAAAGACTAACACGAAGTAAGACACCCCCCATGATGATCAGCCAGTATACGTGAAGTAGGGTTTCTAACCAAATATGCAACGCAGCTCTTGCTCCTCAGCCTGATCTATCAACCAGAGATACGCTGCCCAATTTTGAGAATAATGGTCACCAAGGCATATCTTTTGATGAGTGGTTGAATTTATTTCTTGATTATGCCGTGGGATTGGCTGCGGCACATCGACGAGAAGAGTCATATTCAGTATGCGAAGCTGCAAAAGATTCAACTGTATTCCAATCGCCTAACCACAACTTTGCGATCTACGTTGCATGGAGCGGTAATTACAACATGGATAATGACATGAAATAAATCTCTCACTAACTAAGAATCACAGTATGCGCAATATACACAAGCGATGAAGAGAAATGTATCAGCATAGCTCGACACCTGATGAAGGACGGGGCAATATCGGACTCTCATCGGATGTTTGCACTACTGTCAACGCTCTGTCAATCGCCCATTTCCTGGTATACTTCTGGCCCAGCACAGAAATTTATTTTGAGACAGATTAAAGCTATCGATTCGGCACACTTGGGTGGCGCTGGGGCCCAGAATGGCAACGAAAGCGTCAACGTCGCAGATCCGGTAGACGTCAACTTGGATGTCTGTTTGTTGATGCTTTATGGTCATATTCTTTTCACGTCAACTAGTTATACATTTGCTCTGGGTATGTGGTGTATCTCATTGCTCGCTCCGTTACATGTGCTTCTACTGAGAATTCTGACCATCTTGAATGAAATAGGCTATTTCCTACGAGCGCGGGCTCTTGACCCAGAGAACCTCATGGTGAACTTGAGCCTTGGCCTGGCATATGTCCACTACGGCCTCAAGCGACAGTCAGCAAACAGACAATATCTAATTTTGCAGGGGCAGGCATTTATGGATAAATATGTTGACGCACAGCGGCGACAAGCAAACGGCCAACACCAAGCCGAAGTTTTCTACAACATTGGGAGATTATTCCACCTTCTTGGAATCGCCTCTGTGGCCATGGACTACTATGAACAAGCATCCCAGGCGGCAGCGTTGCATAGTGACAGGAGCAGTGCCGAGGATATTCGCAGCATTAGCAGAATCAATCAAGTGATATCACTGCTGAGTGTCGGGAATAACAAACTGGCTTTGGGACTTTTGAAGAAGGAGATTATTATTTAATACAATGTTCTCATGAATCTTGCATCATTTTCTTTCTTTGTGATTGACCACCCTTCGGCGTAATAGACAAGAAACCTTGATTGTGCTCAGCCACAAAAAAAAAACCAATGCCAATGCAGTAGAAGCTACGCTGTTTCATGAAAAGGAGCGCATATCAGGACTCGGATGTTTGCGGCTTCTCGGCCATCCCCAACTGGTCGTTATTGCACAGTAGCTAGCTTACGTATATCAGGGTATCACCAAGCCTCAGATTTTGGGTTCTTTGTTACAGTGCTTGTATAGTCTCCATGATAGCCTCTTTATTTGCATCCTCATAATGTTTCGGTTACTGCATTGATTATTGTTCTCTGGTATAATATAGAAGCTTCAAAGCGAGACATAAGAAACTAATCGTGAACACTCGACGTTGCTCACCACTAGACGCTGGGAGAGAGTTGACCACTCGAAGTGAGCCAAGCACATATTGGATCCTAAGTCAGGGAAAACGGCCCCTGGGTCATAGCGGAGGAATGAGAGAGATAGGCCATATGCAGCGAAGCGTAAAGAGAACCATCTCGTGGTAGCCACCTCACGCGTGTCCTCCGGAACGCTGGTGGTGGACTGGCCGGACACCGAGCAACAGACTCTAGCCAACAACAGTCTGCCAACTTCCTTTCTGAGGGTGTTTAGGTGCATCTCGCTGACCCGTTTTATCCGCGTGATCTCTTCGATGATGCCTGCTTCTGATTTCTGACTGAAACCGGCCGTATCGGTTCCTACTGCGGCTTGAGGCAAAGAAGCACTCCAGACGACAATATAGTACCCGATATGTAAACAGAGTGCCGGATAAGATGCTAGATAGCAGGATCAAAGGGCCATTGTCCTTAACAACGGCGAGGACAGGCTGCAGAGTGTAGGTAGTATGATCAGCTGCTATCTCCTACGCCAACAAACTCAGCCTGTATCTGGCGGTTGTTGATCATGTCATTCCACCCTAAATAAGGCCGCAGCCATGGAATAGGCTCATTGCTGACCATACGGTTGGCTTGGCTATTGTAGGACTGGCATGGGAATTAGTTTGAGTTCCTCATTTGATTGAATCCTTTGATGTCCTGATATACACTCTATGAAGAAGCTTGAATGCTCTTACTCGAGCTAGTGTTCAAGGACTCATTGGCACCTCTGTACTTGTTCAGACCAATCACGAAAGAAAATTGGTTCATGAAACACGCCAATCAGTTATAGTGACGGCATATGAGGCACCTGAGGAGTATAAGCAAGTGTCTAAGTAAAGGAAATCAAAGTGTTCAGTGAGCTGTGGGAGAGTCTTTCCATGCGAGGAGGATTTGCATTTACGGAAACGGAAATTGAGATTGCTGTAGGCGAATGAGATGTAAACAGACATGTAAGGGCAAACAACCACCAGATGTGTATTGTTTAGATGGCCAGTACCACACTCCACACCTCACGAACTAGAAATGAACACTTTCCACTAAATTATAACAGATTGTATTATGATTTGAGGCGTTTATCACGAACATTGAATGTGGGAATACCGACTCCATGGCTGCGCTCCCTGACTGTAAGAGAGGTCAAAAAAAATTTCGCCCTCCTGGCACTTAATCCTTTATTTTGTCGATTGGATGTTCCAGGGACTACAACATTTTTAGTAAATTAGAGTCCTGGGGTTGGAATTAGTATCTGTGGGTTCATTTGAGATAGCTGAGGCAATCAATTGGGTCAAGAGGAGCAAAATGTTTATCATTCGCTTATATCAGAATGTTGTTGGCGGAAGGCCAATTAAACGTCCCGACGTCATTTGGGGGCGTGATCTCGTTGGATTAAAGTTTTTAAGATATTTTAGCTTGGATTGTACATGAAATTGCAGATATTGCCTCCCCCGTCGTAATTTCATTCCCCGTACGGACTCCGCGAAGCTCCTACCTGCCTAAGACTAGGCGCGGCTATCAACCTCGTAGTAGAATCCAAACTATTAAGTGTATGCAAGATAAAACTGATCATTGGTCACATATTTTAAAACAATTAAAACAAGATATGGGTGTAGTCTTTGTAGATGAAGCCCAAGTCGTAAAGAGGTGAGTAAATCCGATAGGCTACCCAGGGACAGGTCCACAAGAACGGAGAGAAGGTGAGTAAGTTAGCTACATCTCTGAAACATGAAATACTCTCAAATGTTTCCAATCCAGCTAGTATCTTCTTCGCTGCTTGGCTGATACAGTGCAGCCCGAGCACCTAAGTCACATCCCCAGTTATTCACACACTCTCCGTAAAACTGAACAAAGGAAAACTCACATCCTGGACATACTTGCTCTATAAGGTGGATTTGCTTATGATCTAAACATAAAATTTGGTGTTTCTTGCAAAAGTTCTTCTGAAACTCGAAACAGGGTCGACAGTTGCCCTGCTTCCTTCCTGGACAATGATGTGTCCTACTCTGCTTGCGTGCACCAGGCATTGATTGTGACTATGCAATTCGGAATTGTAAAGATGCGTGTTGGATAGTACGACTACTTTTGTAGATATTCGGGAGATGATTCCTCTCCATGGATTTTGGATAATCTGTCTTCTTAAATATTCCAAGTCAACGACTGTTCTAGGTTAAAGGCTGATCGGATCATATAGACATTTCATTGTTCATGGGTTATATTTAAACCTTTGTGCTCTGATGAAAATAATTCTCGGAGGCCTTCTCAATGGATTGATGTTCCCTTCTTTGACTCTAGCATGAACAATAATTCTATAAACAGAAGTTTGAAAATAGAACGAGCATCTATTAGACAACCTCGAGGGACCACTAAATATACGGCTTACAGGAAGAGGACTGAAGATGGAGGGGATACAGGGAGTAGTTTTTTATGTCGTTACGAGGCTTCACCGAGCTTCAACAAATGACTCCACGCACTATATGTTGAGCAACTTAAGACATCCAGAGGGTTGCATTTCAAGTTTCAATATTGAGGGCTACTATGGCAATCTAGACTAAGAATAAATTTATCTCAAACACCAGCGAACCGATTTTATAATTCTCGCTGCTCCATTCTTGACTACAAAAAAAAAACCAGATCTCCCATCTAGTGACAGAACTGAAGAAGGAAAGAACAGTAGGGAATATAGAGAGCGAGCATAAAGCTCGGAGGCAGATCGCCTCTATTTCTGCTTTTTTGTCGACCTTTACCACTTTTTTCAAGCCACCTCACTCCATCTGACGTTGTGAACACAAAGCGTCCCACTCATCCAATAATTGATTGACGATTTTAGCGGTGGAATCACATCTTACGTCTTCAATAATATACTTGACAAGTTGCCTTCCTAGGCGGTAAGACGGATCATAGGCGAACTTCAAGTAGGTTTCCCCTGCAGCCTCCTCAAATATTGCCTTGATCTCTTGATCCTCACGTGTCGACGGTATGTCATTGGCGTGTCGTTCATCTTCGTCATCCTCATCATTCCAGGCCCAAAGCCACATAGGAGGCTCACATGCCATGAATGTAGGAAGGAACAACGCGCTATCCCAGTCGATGATCCCGGAGATGATCTCTCGGGCATCGGGATTAATCAATATGTTGCGTGGATGAAAATCAAGATGGCACAGTGAATAGCTGCGGTCATTCAGCCACCCTTGAGCTGCCAGCTGCTCTGCCATGAGGACGAGTTGATCCATCAGATGCGGCAACCCTGCGTCCCATGGGCAAAGGAGAATATTGTTGGCTTTATTGATCTTGCACAGAGTAGTAAGCAGATCGAGCGTAGACTCTTGTGGTGCCTGTGCCTGGTAGGGTCTCACGGAAACAGGATCACTATAGGCTACTCCAAACCCGGCGTCATTGAATCGACGATCAGCCTCTTCCGTAGTCAGACCATCGAATCTGGGAAGAAGAGGTTCGATAAGAAATAAAGATCGTGGGACGTGAGATTGCCGGAGGGTGATAGTGTCCTCCCCCAGAATCCACTCCAGGGAAATGCCTCGATTAATCCAGGAGCGGACTTTTGAGAGAAATGTATTGGTGGGGGTAGATGAGTCGTTCAAGGTAGATGAGTCGTTCAAGGTAGATGAGTTGTCCAAGGTGGATGGGTTATCCAAGGTGGACGGGTTGTCCGAGGTAGATAGATTGTCCAAGGTGGATGGGTTGTCCGGGGTAGATGAGTCGTCTAAGGTAGATGAGTCGTCTAAGGTGGATGGGTTGTCCAGTGGTCGACCAGATATTCTACCAGCGATGTTGCTCTTCACGGCGAGCATTTGGCTCATTACGTTGCCTAACTCACGGGCAACTTGACACTTTTGTGAGTGAGTCAATCCCGGGTATAAGCTGAGAACCGTTCCTGATGGAAGAAGTCGCTGAACACAGTACTTGGAATTCAAATCGTTGTCGGTCTTATCGTCGACAGACACGACTTCAGGCAGCGGGATCGTGGTGTGCCTGCGCACAAAGTCCAAAATGCCTACTTCGGCATTGACATCAGCTCCTTCGGTACTGGGAAGTCGCAAAATGACCTCTTCTTTTTTTCTTTTTAGCCCAATGATTCGGTTGAACCCTCCCAATGCTATCTTCCGCACTGTGATGTCCCCTGCTTTACTGCCTGGCCAGACCCTCTCCGTAGCAAGCTTGAGAACATGTGGTTCGAGTTCCTCAAACGGCTTCAAGCCGTATTGACTACTCGTCGCCGTCGGTACACAAGATTCAGATTCGGGGCTAAGGCTTGTGGTTGGTATGATGGTGTAGATCAATGAATGAATCCAAGATGCTAATGATGAGGCCGACATTGTTTTGCAATGATAGTCTTGGTTCACACAGGCGGGTACGTTAGGAGTGAGGAGGAAAATATTCTCTGTGTAACAGAAGCGAGAGGAAAAGATATACTCCTTTTTTTCCTGGGAGCACAAAGACTGGATGACCCGGAGCTAGAGAACTGATTGATGGTCAAAGGCGGATGCACGGCTTTATAAAAATAGAAAGATCTGGAATACCTACGCAAGGGACTTAGATTAAATCACAGACAAAGACATGTGCCATCGAATTTTTCGTGTATTTCTTTGTCTTAACAAAAGGACAGCGGTTTTGTCGACCACGTGCTTGGCTCGTGCTGCATATGTTTTGCTTTGTTCCACAACCTCTTCAAATAGACATCGCCAGCATTACACGCAGAGGTATCCCTTTCTGTAGATCTAAACACATAGGCGGTGGATGGCTATTGGACGTCCTATATTAACGGCAAATTCTAGAACGAGAGAGTCTTAATGCCGCGAGCTGAGTAATATATGGCCGATGTACCAATCACGGAATTTTTCGTCGGGGTATTCTTGATATGCAGGTAGAATCAACACTTGTGGCATGCAGTGAGATGTAGGCAGATGAGACAAAATGCAAAGACCAGGCACGAATCGAATCTGCCATTGATCTGGACTAAGGGGCTTTAACGGCTACCAATTTCTCTTGGTCCTTATCTTGCATCCGGGCTTGCAAAGAACTGTCATGCCAAAGATTTCTCATGCGCGATCCACTCTGATAAAACCCTAGAAGCGAAATCGTAATATCATTTAACGGGCTGTTGTCGATACTATTGTGCAAGGCGACGGAGAACATGGCCAAGGTTGTCAGGAACTGGTTCCTCCAGCTCCCCGGTATGGTTTCCCCTCCCATCCTTAACCGCTGTGTTATCAGACGTGCAATGTCTACAGCTATACACAGCGCGTGCGAGCGCAAGGACCAGCGGGACAGCGACTTCCTGGTAGATGGTGGGATAGCCAGAATCTTACGACCAGATAGAAAGCTCACATTATCGGTGGCGAAGTAGCAGGTCAAGAGAATCAACTGTGCACTTTTGAATATATTTTCCAAATAAGGCCGTTTCTTCTGATCGCCGCTGAGATTTGGCGACGTGCTGGGTTGGATGAGTTGCTTCAGAGAAAAGTAGACGCCGAGCAGACCCCAAAGCCGCCCAAATGCAAGAGCTTGAGCAATCGTACTCAAGGCTTGCTTTGAGCATTGGGCTAGCGAAAGGGCAAAAGCACCTAATCGTCCTGCCGCCCGGGCGAGATGGGCACACCTGCGTCCTTCCAGAGACGGGGCTGACTTGACAGTCATAGCACCCTCGGCGATGGTTTCTAGAAGATTGCTCGTCAACCGGGCGCTGTAAAGAAGAAACACCAGCACGGTGGTTTGGCTGGAGCGAGAGCCGATGCAGCCGTATGCCCGTATCATCCATTCGTCAAGGTGCATGGCCACATCGTAGGGCCTGGACACGGTACGCGTCCCATGTTCCGGGGGGTCTGAGTGGTGCGCTGGCGGGATCATGTCTGCTGTCCCCGGGCTTGCGACGCCGATGGGATCATCATACGGGACAGTGAAGAACTGCAATGGTAAATTTCATCTCCGGATGCTACAGCGGAGGTTTGCTGAGCAGCCGTCTGGTGATGGATGTGGTGGGCCGCCAGAGGTGCAAACGGCGGGGTTCGCCGCCTGCCATTCCAGTTGTGGCGGCATGTTCCGACGAGTGCGAATTATCAGTGGCTGGGGAGAGAGCTGCCAAATATCTGATCTTGTCGTTCACGGGGAGAGCTTGTTAGTCCACAGCAGACTCTAGCTATACTCTCACTCATTACTTCTCCTCAGTCACTGGTGGACTTGTATTGAGAAACGTAAATGTAGAATTGTGCCACTCATTCAATTTTTCTATTTCATTTCCCGCCACACCATCAGCAGGTTCTACTGAGCCCCAAGCAACAAATGTAGCCTGATGAACCTTGTCATTACAGGCGAGCAACAACAAACATGCGAGTAACCAAATCTGATAGGAGCTTGTACTCGGCAGTAACCCTCGCTACCATCGCATTCTTCTCCAGAGACCCTCCAACAAAATTGGTCAAATCAATTGGACTCCATACAGATCCAAATCCCCCGCCTTGGAACAGGAGTAGCGGTTGAGTGGCTGCTAACTGATAAGCAAGCCATTCATTTACCAGAGATCAACTAGCCGTTCCGTCGAGAATCTCATGTTTAAAGTTAAACGCGTTGCCTCCTAAGTTAGTGATACGAACGTTCTGTGGCCTGCTTGTTTTCAGCTCGATCGGCTTGCATTCCATGACTGTCAAGGCAACTTGCTCTAAAGCTGTCGTGTATAAAGAGCTTGACGATTGCCGTATGGCAGCTGGAACAACTAGATAAGCGAATGCCTTCTTTGGCTTAATGGTTCTCGCATCCAATACGCCGTGACCAATCAAAAAGTTCTTGACGTATTCGAAGCTCGGTGTTTTGTCATTTGGATCCTGCGGTTTGAGTTTGAGCGTTTGGTACTTATTTCTCTCCAAAACCACTATTGAGAGGCATTTTTGAGAATTAAGTATGGTGATCTGGTCGCCCTCTTCCCACGGGCCTTTGGCATTCACCTGATCCTCCGGAAAGTCTACGCGAGGGGACACGCTCCGAGTAAGTGAGGATCTTCCCATGCGGCTAGCAAGATACCTTGAGCGATCCCTCCTCTTTCTAGCATCTGAGCGCTTTTTTATGGCCCCATAGGTCGATCTCTTAGGCTTCGGTTTCGATTTGGCGTTGGCGTTGACATTGGCCGCACCATTGACTTTGCTGGCTTTTTCCGCGTTAACGGGTCGTGGAGTCGTGGTCTTGGGCTTGCCTCTACCCGAGGCAGGCGTATTTGGAATTACTCCTTTTTTGGGACCTCTCTTCCCTTTAGTAAACTTGGTCGTTGGGCATTGGATGCATTGCTTGTTCTTCGGGTCACAAGCTGGCGCACGAGGGAACATGAAATAATTTCCGCCAGTAGCCCTGCTACGGATCCCGACATCAGACCTACTATAGCAAGTGGATGTCAGCAAATATTCTCGAGATAAAGGTCAGCAAGATTAGGTAGCTCGGCTCGGTTGTAACTTGCCTCCAAGGAAAATCAGCCAAAGCCTGGATGCCCTTCATGGCTGCGGCACAAATCAGAAAAGTTTGAAGGATATGCATGTTGCTAACGATGATCAAGGCTCGATGAATAGGGTTCAATGAGTTGAATTTGGAAGCAGGTGCTCATCAGAGAGTAAATGCTTCCAAATGTGGTACTATATTATAACGAGAGTAGAATGTAATGAGGGACAAGATGCAACTCTTATGTGTCTGGATAATGTGGCTTGGAATTATTTTAGAGCGGACAATGTCTAAGATTAGTATATACATCTATTCTTGTGGTATCTAAAAAAACCTGTTCATTTGACTAGAGTAGTACTCACGGCTTCTGTTGGTTGTACATACGGTTCCATCTATTGCTGTAGGGTCGCTTTTGGCCCCGTTGTTGGTTGGTTTGCCTTGGAAGCTGCATTATTCCATCTAACACTTGCAGACAACAGAGCTATAATTAACTCGTTCGATCTAATTGTGGAAACATATAATGTATTCCACCAACGCATATAACCAGGGTAGAGCCTGGCTGGACCGATACTGCCTAAGTGATACAAGTCAACGGCTGTAAAAGCAACCCTAAGGTAAGCGAAGTTGTCTTGACCGCTCGTCTTAACGCAGACAGCTCGCCTGAGAAAACAAGCTAATTAAGGCCACAGCAATCGCTCGTCACGACAACAGACGGCCAGGTCGGCTTCGCAATAACTACTCGTTAGGTTGGGCAACGGGTTAACTAGGGTTATAGTAATCGCTTGTCTTACAAGACCATTGATGCTAGCAGGCCATCATAGGGGTAGGCAAAGTTGATAAAGGCGGAATTTTCAGCAGCCCGAGGCTACAGCTGTTGATTGCATTTATAAGGGCCGGGGTGAACAGATCAGACCTACCTCCTTAGGCCGCTTGAGGCTTCGGCTGTTGATTATTTTCACAAGGGCTGGGGTAAATAGGATCAGACTTACCTGCTCGAGGCTGCTCGAGGCTATAGCTGTTGATCGTGTTTATTAGTATCATAACAGATATAATCTGACTTGCCTGCTTAAGGCTGTAGCTGTTAGTTATATTTATCTGAATTCCCCTGTAACCTATAATATATATATAGATAAATAGATATAAGATTAAAATTATCTCTATATAAATAGATTTTTTCTTTAGAACTTTACTATAGTAAATATATATTATATTTATAAAAATAAATTAATATTAATATTTTTATTAACTTTAGATAATTAATAATAAACTTCTAAATACTTTTCTAATAATAAATAATAATAAATCTAAATTTAAAATTCTAATTATAAATTAATTTTTTTTTTTAATTTTCTTTTTTAATTATAAATAAAATTATTTTAAAATTAAATATAATATATAATTAATTAAATATATAGAGTTTTTTTTTATATATAAATATTCTCTTTATAATCTATAA